TAAGGGCTTATATGCACGACCGTACTCCTCAATATGAGATTAACATAAAACTGCCCATGGAACCTGGACTACAGCAGACGAGACAGTTTGGTTATCACCCGGTCAGCTGAAATGTTCGCTGAAGTTCTCCGCCCATCGGCCAAGCCGTTGTGCCTTACAGTGAATAGCTTATCCACTTTTGTCGCAGATCGTTTCACTGACTATGGTTTGACGACCTACTGTGTTGCGCATCAGTCGGAACAATCTTTGACTATTCCCTGATGCAGCTGCGACTTCCATTTCACCAGCTATTGTTGCCCACCATTTTTGAAGGTCTTTCTTGAGGCTCTTCGTGAGTTACCGTTGCAGACGACACCTATCCCTGCCTTGATCCCGGGAGGTGGGGATTGGGCCCCTTGTCTCCATCAGTGCTACTGATTCATCAGATATCCAATGCCTCGGGTGGGCTAACGCTTCAGACCACAAGAAACGGAGTGCATTGCTCATCTAATCTGATCCCATTGTTCATCTACACTACCAACCCGCCGAGCGTTTAGCTATTGCCCTAGTTCTGATTCAAAGGAGGTACGAACGGCTGGTCAGATAAACGATGATTTGCCAACCGTGTTTGATGGGCTTTTTTGTGACCAGTGAGTTGGGGAGTGAACTGTATCAACACTAATGCATGATCAGGTTCAACGCAGGTGGTCCAATAGGACCCGCAGTTTTGTATTGAGCCACGCCAACGGTAACTTGCTGCTATGTGGTCGAGTTGAGTTAACGTACCGATTAAACTGGAGCTCCACGTTGCCGTCCGTCGAGAGTTGTGTTCGAAGTTGGTAGTGGATGGAGACACACTATGATCTGCGCAGAACTGAAGAAGTCGATCGCCATTATCTGTTTGTTGGCTGGGCAGAGCACAACTACCGCCTAGGCAAGATTCTGAGGTGCTCAGTGTTCCAACTTGCGCGTTAAAATCACCGGCGAGCACAACTACATCGGAGCTTAGGCTCAAACAAATGAGTTCAATGAGTTTGTCATATAGCTCATCTTTTGCGCGTCAGAACTGCCGTTGGTCGGTGCATATGCTGAAATGATGAACGACCACCTTTTTGTGTCGCTTCGTTTTTTAGACGCTGATAGACCCTTGAAGTCGCATCACACATAAGCGACTGTTGACGGGGATTCAATTGATTAGTAACGATTCGGCTGTACAACGCCTACGCCATTCTGGTCTACTAAACCGACTTCGTCGTCACCTGATGTACACAGGAAGTCCCTCGAAGACAAATCTGGTGCACTTAAGTGGCTAGGATCCTGAATTCGTGTCTTCAATAGGTAGCAGACATCAATCCCAAAAGAGTCCATTGTGCGTGCCAGACAAACTTGTTAACCCGCCTGCATCAGAGTCCTCACGTTGAAGGCCCTCAGATTGAGAGGTTGACGAGGCTTCAGAATAGGCACTTCATTTAGTGGTAAACTACTTAAAGTGCTATTTGGCAACAACCTTTAACGAGTGGCACACAGGTTGTCTGATGGGATGTTATGGGTCGGAAGAAGGGGCAAAGGATGAGGGTTGGGTATAGAAGACAAAGAGGCAAACGAAGGTTGAGATATCTGAGCAGTATGCCACTTATTGCTACCAACTCTGCTTGATGCAATGGGTAGTGTGGTAATGATTATTCTGCGCGACGACCGATGTAGTATGAAATTATTTTTATTTTGTGTATGCATTGGGGTTTGATGGGCGGGTACTGCTAGAGTGCCCAGTCACTAAACAGGAGAACAATTAGGGTTCTCAACCAAAGCTTTTGGTTCTGACAAGAACCTAACCACAAGGCAGCGGGTGAAGCGAAGTGGAGGTCTATTTACTTGGATCAATTTCTCCTCCAACGTTTTTACCGAGCGAGGCGCCAATTCGAGTCGAAACCCCAACCTAGAGGAACAGAAGACTGAACTTTGTCTAACCTCTACCCATTGACCTTCACAGGCATGATAAAATCTCCTGGCTTAATCCATCCTGCATAGTCCGTCGGGATATAGAGGTGCACAAGCCATCATACCACGTCAAGGTGCAATCTCGTCGTGATGGATCGAAATATGCAAAAGCTAGTGCAACCAAATATAGTCCGACGAAGACACTGAACCTCCAATGGGCCTGGAGCCCAGAGCGATTCAGAAGGTTGTTTTAGCAACCGCTTTACAAGTATACTTTGACCTCGTTTAAACTAGCATAGCACCACGTGACATCATATGAATTGTTTTGGAAAACGACTCTAGATTTGCTTGGATAACATTTTTCAGAAGCATAGAACCGGTTTAACCGATTATGAGTTATGCGTATTAGGTACTCCGTTGTCAAGTTATTCTTACATTTTAGAATCTGGTCAAGATATCTTCATTTGCATCACAAGAAATAACTTCGAGACAAACCGATCTCAAAGACTCATCACGATGGATCTGTAATGGTATTTTGTAGGAAATATGTGCCTCGCCTCATTGGAGATTCAAACCTGAATGATTTTGACCAAAACGTACGCACATCTTTTAAGCGGTAAGAATGACGAAATAGATTTTGGGGGACCTAAGTCTAATCATTCATGCAATACTTAACTTGAAGCAAACAAAAATTGGCCTCATTATCCAGTTGGCTGACGTAAGATGTATCTAACCCACAAAATATTATCGCGAGATAACTCCGAGATGCCAATAAAGATACTTCGGCGAAATATGGTTTATCGTTTTAAGGAAAGTTTTCAAATGTCCTTCACAATAGTAATCCAAAGGAAACTGAATAAAGTGAGCGTTGGGTATCGAAATAATTCCAGGTGTTGTTTATTTATTACTCCTTTCTTGAGCTGCCCCATCTCTCACTCCATCCTGAAACAACCCCTATTCAAATTTCTAATCAATCACGTGGGTGATGGAATCTAAATAGTTTATTTTCTTTGTAAGAGAGAGCAACTGAGAATGGGAACAAAATAATTCTTCAACTTTCAACGCAATCATCGACTAACATATTTGAATACAGAGAGTGCAGAAAGGCCCCAAAACAGGTTATAA